GCCGTACAAAGTTCAGAGATTGGAACTTGAAGGAGCACGTACAGTGAAGCACTGTGATTTCTTCCCTTTCTCTCCTTCCTTTCTCACTACCTTTGAATTTTTTTTTCTTTTTTTTTTTCAATAAAAGTGATTTTTTTTCAAAAAAAACCTAAAATAAAGTGAAAAGTGAGATTTTGCAGGAAATAGAAGACTGGCAATAAGAAAATAAAGGGGTGTTTCCTCTAAGTCGTGTACGGTGTAATTGAAGTTTTTAATAAAAGTTTTGTTAAAAAAAAATAGTTGTAAGAATGTTATTTTTGTAAATAATAAAAATAAAGATAAAATAAAAATAATATATTAATTTTATTAAAATTTAAATAAAAAATTCTTGTAAAAATATCAATTTAATACTTTTAAGATTTATAATGAAATGAAAAAAAAATTAATTTATAAAAAGTTATAACATCTTTTATTAGTTGTAACATTTGATGTAATTTATGTTTTTGAAGTCAATAAATCCTTCCTACAAACTGTACCACTGCACCAAACAGGCTAGGGAGATTTACAGGAATGTTTTCTATGATTTTACAGGAATGTTTTTATTAATAACAATAACGATCAATTACTAAATAAATTAACAATAAGTATTAATAATAAAAAGATTTTTTTTAACTTAGGTTTAGATTAATAGTATAATAAATATATATTTTTATTATAAATTTAAATTTAAAAATAAAAATTAATATTTAATTTATCATTTATTTAATAAATTTATCAATTATTTAATTAAATTATGCTAAAATTAATGTTAAGTTTTAATCTTTTTATATATATTTATGATAAAAAAATATTTTTAATTTGTATTCTAAAAACATTAAAACAAATGAACAACAATTTAAATAGTTCAATGACAATCTCCAATTACATTAAATACAAATGAGATAAGATAAAAAAAATATAACAGCATGGCTTTATTATGCAACTAACGTCAAAAATAAAATAAAATAAAATAAAAAGGATCATAATTGAAACTGATCGTATAAACGTGGTAAGGGCATTGAAGGTAAAGGTGGGATTTTTGCGACAGAGGTGGGGCAAAGTTTTTCATGACTGTTCGGATCTAATGGCTATATTTGTAAGTTATAGAATTCAGCATGTAAAGAGAGTTTAGCAATGGGACGAATTCCTCTTTGAAGGTTCCCCTTTTATAATGCAAGAACTTGTAATGAATGATAAGCAGCATTGATAATCTGCTACTATTTTTCTGCTGCTCTGAATGAATAATACCAGAGGTTCTGATGATATATATATAAAAAAAACACACACACACGCACAAATTAAAAAAACATTTTACATGCTAGAAAAACCTATGATAGAATTAGACATAATTATTAAAAGGTGGAGTAAATTCAAATCATTTTATCAAAGACCCTATAACAAGAATTTAACCGAGTGAGTCGATGGGTTGCGCGTCTTATCAAGGGAGGTGAGATATTTATCAAATTTGGGGATCAAATCTCTAATTATTAACAACTAATAAAACTAAATTACTACCTATTGTACCTGTCGAAAAAAAAAAAAAAAGACCCTATAACAAATTCACTAACCATAAACACACCTAGTAAAACCAGGGTATCCCATATTGCAAAGCTTGAGGGCTTAAATGCTTTATTTCTAGTTTTGGGGCTTACACGTTAATATGGTATAAAGTTGAGGGTTTAACACTCAATTTTATCCCTTATATCCCAAAAATAAATTATTTTGTTACTTTGTACAGAGATTTGGTATAAATAAAGGAATAATCTTTCAAAATTATTTTAATTAAAGATATAATATTTTTTTACTAACCATAATTATCACTTTTAAAAGTTAGTATTCAAGAATGACTTTTATAATTTTTCTTAAAAATAATTAAATGGAGATGTTGTTGAATAGTTTATAAATATTAACATCTCACGTTAAGAGAAAATGAAAATTTAAAGAAATTTATAAAAATTTATTCATTATTAATAAATAATTGAGTAAATTGAAATTTAAGATATGTGAGTTTTGAGTTTAGGCCTTACCCTTTCTGTATATAATCAAACATTTTTTTAAACATGTCTAAAATTTATATATAACTTTTAATAGTTAAAAGGTA